CTGCCCTGAATCCCCTCACACTTCCAGGACCCCCTCGCGGACTCAACCCCACCCCCTCACCCCGCCCACGTGGCCTCAGCTCTAGCCCCATTCCCCGCTCTCTTCCCCTCTCCCACGAGACCTCCCCTCCTGCACCCATCCCTGGCCCCCCCGCCCTGCCCACGGGGGCTCGACTGGCCACGGTGAGGGCCAAGTCTCAGCCTGGACTCGCGCAGTTTGTGCCCAGAGAGGAGGTGGAAAACTGGGCGTTGAGAAAGGGCCGCAGGTATGTGCTGGGTCTACAGGACTGCTGGAGGGGCGGAACGTGTTTATACAAACAACAGCTATAGCTGGACACGGCACCGAGCCCACGTCCCGCAGGCACTGCTGGCTGGAGGCGGGGCCGGCAGGGCCATCAGCGCACACGGCCCGAGCCCACACTTGCCGTCAGGACAAGCCGACGGGCCCTGCCGCCCCACCATGTCCAGCACACTTGGCCACCGGGCACAGGCAGAGCCACCGCACCCCACGCGCTACCTGGCGTGATCTGGGTCAGTGTAGGGCACGGTCCTGACACACTCGCCCACGTAGTTCACCGGGAAGGGCAGCAGGAAATGGGTCTTCATCTGGCAGGGTTCGAAGGTCGGGTCCTGGGGACAAGGCACGGTCAGGGCGGCTGTGCTGGTCTCACATCCCCCGGCCGTCCCCTCACAGGGGTCCCCAGGGACGCCCAGATGAGAGCAGGCGTGGCCGTGACGTCACTCTAGTCTCTCACTCTGCAGCCTGACGCGACGCCCTCATGGGTCGGCATTCACCTAAGCACATCTCGTGCCACATGACGGACATCACAGCTGCCGCTCCAGGAGCATGTGGGACCCATGCCCTGCAAAGACCTAAGCCAGGGTGCTGTCCCAGGGTGGAGTGGAAGCATGGATCGTACCGCTTCGGACACCGCTGCGTCAGAGAGGGCACCCTTGGCGACACACATCCTCCCGAGTGAGCTGCCGCCCCCACTCAGCTGAGAGGGACCCGCCGGCCCAGTGAGTGTGGCACCGAGGGGCCTATTAGCCCCGCAGCTGCTGAGGGATGTGTGGACTCACCGTGACCAGCTTCCGCACGATCTGGGGGCCGTGAACGTGCATGCTGCTCCCGGGGCTGCCGCTGGCGGGTTTCTGAAAGGAAAAACCCGAGTAAACCCGAGACTCACCGAAACTGCCAAGAGGCACAGAGGTCACCAAGCCCAGAGCCAAGAGCAGGTGTGAGGGCAGAGGGGCTGCAGGGCTGACACAACACGCGTTCTCATGTGTTGGAGGTTTCAAAGAGGAAAAACATTTCACTCGTGGGTGACGGCATGGGAACGGGTATAAAATATGAAAAAGGATAAGAATGTAGAAAAAAGTGGAGAAAAATGCTTAGAACAAATTTTCAGTCAAGGAAGAGAAGTCCTTGTACCTCACCAAAAAATACTTTTAAGTTTCACAGAACTGTGCCCAGTTGAGAGTTCAGAGGCCCTGGGCAGGGGACAGGCTCCTGCCAGAGGGGCTGGACGCAAGCAGAGGCGCCCTCCCCGGGCCCCGCGGCCAGCTGCGAGACAGCCACCAAGGGATGAGGGACGGGCAGACATCGGTGGTCGACGGCAGAGATCGTCCGCTGCAAAGCTACGGGCCGCAGCCTCTGCCTCGGGGAGAGAGGCCTCTCACGAATGCTGGTGAACCACCTCAAACCCTCCTGTGATTAGTCAGACTGGCAGGACGCGTGCCACTGAGGCAACTGTTCTAGGAAAAATCCAAGAACTGGTGAGTCGCGGTGAGAGGGACGTCCTCAGGGCCTCACAGGAGCTGGAGTCGCCGCGAGGGGTGCCACGGCCTGTGTCCTCGGGGCCTCATGAGCATCAGCTCGTCCCAGGGAGAGGCTGTCACAGCCCACGTCTGCCGGCCTCCTCAGAGCAGGGCAGCGCTCCCAGGTCAGCATCTCGGGCTGTCCTTCAGCCACCGAGCCTCACACCAGAGCCCGTCCTTCTCTGTCAGACGACGCCACTGCAGAGCGTCAGAGTGAGCCCAGAATCGAGGGCCGAACTGAGGGCCTGAGCTCACTTAGCTGGGTCAGCTCCGGGCAAGTGACCTCGCCCTCCGGCCTCAGTTTCCTCATCCGTAATGGGGTCCTTAGTAGCCGCGCTCTGGGCGGCTCTGAGAGTCAGGTGAGTCCATCCGAGTAAAGAGCACGACGGACCCGGGACCACGAGGCACTGGCCAAGCGCCGCGGACCCCGCCTTACCTCCACCACGTGCGGGCGTGCAGGCCTCTGCTCCTTCTTGCTCCGCCCCAGGCTGCTGACGAAGTCTCCCACTGCCCGTTCTGCCTGGGCCATCTGCTGGGGGGTGGCATTCACCGCACACCTGTACAGAAATCACGTCTCTACAAAACCACCATTAGCACAAAAACCCACAGTTTGACTAGCTCATCACGTTTTATCTAAGTTTTTTGCAGAAAACAATACCCCAAATGTTCAGAAGTCAGGCGTGGGGCTCATTTCTGCAATCCCAGTGCTTAGGGAGGCCAAGTGGAGGACTGCTTGAGCCCAGGATTTTGAGGCCAGCGTGGGCAACAGGGCGAGACCTGGTCTCTACAAAAAAGTTTTTAAAACTTCTGTGTGGTGGCACAAGCCGGGAGTCCCACCTACCTTGAAGGCTGAGGTGGGAGACTCACCTGAGCTAAGGAAGGAAGGCTGCAGTGAGCTGTGATTGTGCCACTGCACTCCAGCCTGGGTGACAAAGTGAGTCCCCGACTCAAAAAAAGTCGGAAAGTGTGCCCTGGTGGCCGAAGTGGAAAATTATCTTCTAAGACGGATAAGAGATACTATTAGGCTAATACCAACCGTACGCCGGGCGTGCATGACGTCTGTGGCCTCGCACACGTTCTTTCTTCTATCGGGTCCGTGAGGAAGGAGGCCAGGCCTCCCAGTGGCTAAGTGCCCACGACCTCCTGGCATGGAGCTCATGAGAGCTGGCCCGGCGCCAGAAGCCAGGCCCCGACCCCAAAGCCCGCGTGGGCCCCAGCCGCAAGGCCCCACCTCCTGCAGCCAAAGACCAGTCCGCAGACTCTGCCGGAGAGTCTCAGGGCCAGGTTGGACTCTCCAGGAAGAACCAGCCGGCAAACGTTTTCTGAAGCATCAGCGAGTCCTCGATCGATGTCGCTCGGTGAGAGCGGCCAGCTTTCACGCATGCTCACAGCTGAGCGCCTCAGGCCACGTGGAGGACCGAGCAGCTCGGCAAGCGTTTCCCAGAACCACCACGTGGTCTCGCTTGACAAGAATCGGCCCCTCTGGGCTCGAGAAGCCCACTCCGCAACGCTCACTGGTGGGCCATTCGCTCCAAGCAGCGAGCGAACGCGAAGCGCCGCCCTCCGTCGACGGGCAGTGCCGGGACAGAGTCGGCCCCCTTCCTCCCCCGAGCCCCCGCAGCGGTCACACAGCTCCCTTTCCTTTTCTTTCTCACAGATGACGACATGGGGTCTGTTAGGCCACCAGAAGTCTGGGACCAGTGCTGCCACCGACACCCTTGGCGAGCCTTCTCCCCCTCTTGAAGACGCGCTCACACCATCCTAACCTCAAGGGAAGCGTCCGCGGTGACACCGAGGCGCACCGGCCCCACCCACCTCAAGTTGTCGCCGCTCAGCAGATGCTTCTTGATGCGCGGGAGCTTCCTCAGGACAGGCCTGACGTCGGCCATCTCCGCGACCCTCTTC